GCTCTTTCTTTTTCTTTACAATAGAGTGAGACTTTTAGATAAGAATTTCGTTATTAGATAACCATTTTAAGCGTAGTTGAAACAGCAGCCGGACCATTTCTCCGCCATGGCATAGTGCTGTTGAGTCACGTGCAACGCATAGAGATGCGTTGCAGGCGATCGATTTTACAGCCTCTCCTTCTACGCACGTGTTCAGCCATGTATAGTCACACATTGAATTGCTTTGATCGTAACAGTCCTTATTTCGCTGACTGTTCCCCGTGAGAAGCGCGATTCCCCCGTTCCTTTCATTTCTAAAAAGTTAAGCCCGCGAAAAGCCCAATTTAATTTTACAAGAAAAAGAATACTTTTTTTTTTTTTATTCCATTTACTTTCTTGTAAATCTTTAATCTCGTAAATTTTTATGAAGTCCAACGTGGACTTTATTTTATATCGAGATCTATTGCTATTTGGCCCCAGAAATTTTTATGAAAAATTTTGACTGAATTTATCATCTCTGATAGGTTAGGTTTAGGTTAGGTACAAACATCGATTCTTTCAAAGTGCAAAATTAAAAAGCAACTGACTTTCACAGGCAAGTCAGTAATATCTCGAATAAAATAAAGTCCACGATATCATGCAGTTGAACTTCATAAAAATTTACGAAGATTCATTATTCGGTCGTTTCTGGAACATTTTTAGAACTTTAGAATAGAGTGGTAATTAAGTTTCTCGTCACTGTCAATTATCTTAGACATTGTCATAGTTAATCTCGTCAGTGATCCGTGGAATTATATATTTATCTTCAATCTCCTTATTGTGTAATTCTCTCCGCGTTATTTTGTACTCTTCATGTCTGACAATGGAGAAATTAAATATGGCGGCGTCAGTATGACAAAATTATTATTTTACTTTAAATTTAATATATTCATTGTATAATTTTAAAGGTATTCCGCAATCATTCACTTTCTATGAAATAGAGTGAAGAGCATAACTAATAAAACGATGAAAACTTGTCGGCATTTGAAGTTATTATAACTTTGTCAAGAAAACACGACAGTCTAGTTGGTTTCATTTTAAAGCGGTAAAATCTCTACTTTGACCCGAGTTTTTTTTTTTCAAAATATTCTTGCATTATGCAGCGGATGGGACAACAAGGATCCTTTTATTCCCAAAAATTCGCAATTCAAAAGACATTGAAAAAATTTCTTTCATTAACTGGATCCACCACGCTCTTGAAGATCGAAAATTTCTTCTTCACGACGACTCGTCAAAACTAGCTGTACGATTTTTCTTTCGTCGTGAATCGTTTGATCGAATTGAACGTGTTAGAGTTGAAATGAAATATAAAGTGAAAGCTTTAGCAAGCTCTCGAACAACTGCAGGAAAAGAGAAAAAGGCAAGGGAGATCAATCAGAATACGTACTGTAGAAAATTCAGAGACGACAAGTGGCAATTAATTTGAATACTTATCTGTCCGTTGGCCACGTGTTTCCAGTACGGGGAATTAAACTAAGGAAACAGTCCCTTAGCAGTCCGGCGGTTCGCATTTATTCGCTCTTATCGCGTTGGCTGTAAGTTTCGAGAGGTAGAAGAGGCACCTTGCACGTGAGACTTTTCACCAGGGCTTGCACACGTGTACGTCGTTGCTCGAACGACATGGCCGCTGCACCCTGCCGCGTACGCATGCAGTAAGGTGCATGCAAGCTCTGACCCAGATCGCACGATCGATATTCCCTGGCCCAGATACGCTTACGGAGATTAATATTTTTTCCACGCAAGCCTGACGATGATTGATCCCTCCTCTCCCTTTTCACGAACTTCGTACTTAACTGCCGTTTCGAGACCGAGGTCCTTTTGGTCGCGTTTCAGGATTAACGCTATGCGTGTATGAAGCTGTTGAACTTGTTGGCTTGGATATATATTTTAAGCAGTAAACAAGTGCTATATTTTTTTTTTTTTATGTAATCCTTTGCCACTTGTTACGTAATGAAACAAGGAAATTATTCCATGGCGTTATATAGAATTTATTGATTTGGGTCTTTCGAAGTTACAAATTGCTGAGTATATTCAAATCTTCCAAGTGTTTACTCATTTCTAAAAGATATTTCTAGTACAAAAACTAATATTTTTGTTAACTTTTTTTCTGTTTGGTTTCATTTCTTAAATGAAACAACCATCATTTTCATGTTATCTTGTATGCGCTGCTACGAAATTGAACTGCTTGTAATGCGCTTTAGTTCAATAATTCGTACGTGTAATTTCACTGCTTGTGAAGTCAGCTATATAAATTGATGTCTACAATCTCTCGAACTGCGCACGCGAGTTTGATTTAGCCGCTTAATTTGGTGCCATTGATCTAGATTGATCTCTGAAATTTATTTCTCGCTACTAATTCATTTATAAATTACTTGCCACGATTGACCGCGCGATTGGACACATGACATAGGCTGTTTGAATAATTCCTCGTACAATGATTTATATTCACAAGTAATTTGCATTGAAAATTATTCTGGACATTTTTCTTTCTTTCTTTCTTTCTTTCTTTTTTTTTTTTTTTT